ACCCCAAAGGATAGATCCACTGGGCAGAAAATAAGTAAGGACACAGAGGCACTGAACAACACACTAGAACAGATGGACCTAATAGACATCTATAGAACTCTACATCCAAAAGCAACAGGATATACATTCTTCTCAAGTACACATGGAACATTCTCCAGAATAGACCACATACTAACCCACAAAAAGAGCTTCAGTTGTCCAGAGCCATAGGCCACAGAAACAATGGTCTCGCCCTTTTCGCCTAGGTCTCTAGTTTCTCAAGCCTGCCCCATTTACAAAGATCAATTGACCCAGCTTGCGATTAGACCGCTGGGATATAGATTAAGCAGCTGCTGTGATAACATCTACTCCTTAGTATAACATTTTGTCTTTTCCCAGAAATCCCCCACTGATGATTTTTTCCATAGAACATTCTTCAGTTAGGTATCCTAGCAACCTAGATAACCCTTGCCACTTCAGCTGGGGCTGTTTCCCCCTCCTAGCTCCTATATAATATACCTTGTAAAAATAAACTTTGAGACCTTGATCATACTTTCGACTTGGTCTTCTTCTTTGTGTCTGGTTTGTCTCTCATCCAGGTTAACTTCCCCTCAGGCCCTTGTTGAACTCCCCACCAACCGGGGCAAGTGGCATCCAATATGGGGCTTGAGGTACGAAGCCTGATCTGGACATTGCTCATATGGACGGCCGTCCTTCTTTCTTTGGATCACCACCCCGCCGGTGAGTGAAGATCCGCATGAAGATCACCACAGGAGTACCCACCTGTGACACAGATCAGTAAAGGTAAGGAAAGCGATGCAATCATGGGGCTACACACTCAATAAGCATGAGTTATTTGTTAAGGGACTTAAGGCTTCTCTCAAGACATGAGGAATACAGGTTAAGAAAAAAGATTTAGTTAAATTCTTTAGTTTGCTAGAGGATGTCTGCCCATGGTTCTCCCAGGAAGGAACTATAGATGAAAAACAGTGGCGCCGAGTTGGCGACTGCCTGAATGATTATTATCGTTCCTTTGGCCCTGAGAAGGTCCCAGTACAGGCATTTTCTTATTGGAATCTTATAAACGATGTGTTGCAGGTCCGCCACTGTCACCAAGATGTTTCAAAGATTGTTGACAAAAGCGAAAATTATCTGAAAGGGAAGTTCAAAAAAAGTCAGTCTTCTCTCCATAAAAGGAGGTCCCCGAGGACCTTCGTCCCTCCTCCCCAGCCTCTAATTGTCCCTCTGTCTCCATTCCCGTGCCAGAGGTTAATAATGATCTGCCGTCTAGCGGCCCCCTCCAAAATCTATTTACCCAGTCCTTTCTGGTCTCAAGTCCAACAGCCCTGATGATGATCCCCTCTCCCCTGAAGAGGAGGCCAAACTAAAAGACGCCGCCGCTAAGCACCATAATCTTGATTGGCCCCCTCAAGCACCTTTAGGTGCATGTCCACCACCCTATAACATACCATCCGTTTCTGTACTCAACCCGATCTAGAAGAAATAACTAGACAAGCCACTGTTAAACTCTCACGGGAGGTGCAGTCCCTTAAGGCACTGCTTCAGATCAAAAGGGAGAGATCCCAATTGCTTAGGCAATTACGTGACCTTGACTTAAAAATAAGCTCCTGCCCTGTCCCTCCTGTTCAGAAAATAAAAATAAGTTCCCACTCTGCTCCCCCCGTTCAGAAAGTTAAAACTAAAAATAAAACCCTTCATGTCTTCCCGGTGACCCCATCCCAAACTAGACCAACAGAGGGAGAGCTGACCGAGGGAGAGTCAAATGATGCTGAACCATGAGAATCAGAAGGAGGAGATATGGACGCAGAAGAGCCTATAGCCCAGCTTGAGTCAGAAAACACTGAGGGAGAGGACGAGAATTCAACTTCAACCATTAGGACTCAGCGGTACCGCCGCCTTAAATTTAAAAATATAAAAGACTTAAAGAATGCTGTTTCCTCATATGGCCCTGTTGCCTCCTTTACTATTTCATTGTTAGAGTCTGTAAGCGAAGATTGGCTTACAGTTAATGATTGGGGCATGTTAACTAAAGCCACCTTAACAAGGGGTGATTTCTCTTATGGAAAGCTGATTACACTGAAAGATGCCAGGATACTGCCCGCTGCAATATGGCTGCCGGCGGTCCTTCCAAATCCTAGACATTAGACAAACTTCTGGGCAATCGCCCCTATGACACAAATGAAAAACAGGCTAATTTTTCCCCAGGCTTACTCACACAAATCCAACATGCAGCCCTTAAGGCCTGGAAGAGCCTCCCTTCTAAAGGGTTGGCCATCACCTCTCTTGCCAAGGTTAGACAGGGGTCACAGGAACCTTACAGTGAATTCATAGGCCGCCTTACAGAGGATGCCGAACGCCTCATGGGAAGGGAGGAAACAGATAATGAATTCATTAAACATCTTGCTTTTGAAAATGCTAACTCAGCTTGTCAAGCGGCTATGTGTCTCCATCGCCCGACAAAAATGTCTCTGATTTTATAAAACTTTGTGCCGATGTCGACCCAACCTCTCGCAATATCGGAATAGCCATAGGAGCAGCTCTTAAAGATTTTACTCAGAGAGCCAGGCTCAAGACTTGCTTTAATTGCAAGCAACCAGGTCATTTTTCAAGAGAGTGCCCAGCCCCTAAGACCAAACGATCGCTCCCATCATCCCTGTGCCAGCGATGCAAGCGGGGTAAGCATTGGGCCTCTGAATGCCGCTCCAAGGCTGACATACAGGGTAACCCTCTGCCTCCGAAGGAGGGAAACTTGATACAGGGCCCACCCCAGGGCCCCAAAACCTACCCGGGACAGAACCCTGGGGTCGTCATGTTCGTCCCCCAGTAAGCCCAAAATCCAGCGTCACTATCCTCTTCCAAGCAACCACCGGTAGTTCAGGACTGGACCTCTGTTCCACATCCCAGTCAATATTGATCCCAGAAATGGGAACTCAAATACTTTCTACGGGGATTTTTGGCCCTTTGCCGCAAGGCACCTTTGGTCTTATTCTGGGTCGTGTCAGCTCTACTATTCAGGGCCTCACTATTTCTCTAGGAGTCATTGACAGTGATTATACTGGAGAAATTAAACTTCTGGCTACAGCCTTTCAGGGACCAATTACCATTTCCCCTGGCCAATGGATTGTAATATTACTCCCCCTCGATGATAAAAATCCTTGCTATAAGCAAAAGTGAGGCCCCCATGGGTTTGGATCATCAGATGTTTATTGGGCACAAAAGATCACTCAAAAAAGACCCCTTCTTAAGTTAAAATTAAAAGGAAAAGCCTTTGAAGGCCTTATAGATACTGGCGCGGATGCCACAATCATTTCCAGTAAGGATTGGCCTTCATCTTGGCCTCTCACCGCTTCCATGACTCACCTTAGAGGTATTGGACAAACCTCCAACCCCCTACAAAGCTCTGAAGTTATTCAACGGGAAGATGAAGAAGGCAATCATGGTACTGTCCAGCCTTACGTGGTTGCAGGCCTACCTATCAACCTCTGGGGCAGAGATATTCTCTGTCAAGTGAAGCTCATTATGTGCAGCCCTAATGAACTAGTCACTCACCAGATGCTCAATCAAGGATTTCGCCCTGGGCAAGGGTTGGGCAAACACTCTCAGGGCGCAAAAGAGCCGGTCCTGGTCACCATAAAAACTGATCGTGCTGGAATTGGCTATGAAAATTTACCCTAAAGGCCATTGACATACCTTTACACCATGCAGATAAAATATCCTGGAAAACAACAGACCCTGTATGGGTTGATCAATGGCCCTTAACTTCTGAAAAACTGGCTTCAGCCACAATGTTAGTACAGGAACAACTTGCTGCAGGCCATATTGAGCCCACCACCTCGCCCTGGAATACTCCTATTTTTGTCATAAAGAAAAAATCAGGAAAATGGAGGTTACTTCAAGATCTTAGAGAAATTAATAAAGCTATGATATCTATGGGGTCCCTTCAACTGGGCCTCCCCACTCCTTTGGCAATTCCTGTGGGATATTCTAAAATCATTATTGACCTAAAAGATTGCTTTTTCACAATCCTCCTACATCCTAAAGACCGCAAGCATTTTGCATTTAGTTTGCCAGTGATTAAATTTAAAGGCCCTATGCCAAGATTCCAATGGAAAGTTCTGTCCCAAGGAATGGCAAACAGCCCTACACTGTGCCAAGAATTTGTAGCTCAAATTATAGACCCATTTAGACAAAGATTGCCATCTACATATTTAATTCATTACATGGACGACATCCTCATGGCTGGTCCTAACCCCACTGAACTCCTTGCTTTTTCCCAAGAGATTTCTAGGGCCCTTACCAGAGCTGGTCTTCAGATAGCCCCCGATAAAATTCAATTAAACCTCCTTACTTGTTTTTAGGCTTTGAACTCTTTCATAATAAGATTCTTTCACAAAAGTTTCAACTTAGAACTGATTGCTTAAAAACTTTAAATGATTTTCAAAAACTTCTAGGAGATATCAATTGGCTCAGGCCTTATCTCAAGCTAACTACTGGAGAGCTTAAACCCTTGTTTGATATCCTTAAAGGGGACCCAGATCCTACTTCCAGTCGCTCATTAACAGCCCCTGCCCTAGAAGCCCTAAAAGCAGTGGAAGCCGCGATTATAAACCAAAGGGTCACCTTTATCTCTGATGAGAAGCCTCTTCTCCTAGTCATTTGTGCTACTGATTTTACACCCACCAGAGTATTCTGGCAAGAAGGGCCCCTTTTTTGGGTCCTTTTACCTACCTCACCACCCAAAGTCCTTATCCCCTATACCTCCTGGGTGGCTGAGCTGACAAAAATCGGACGCGACCACAGAAGGAAAATATTCAGTAAAGGCCCCAACAAAATTGTCCTACATTATTCCCGTACCCAAATCCAGTGGTTGATGGAGAATGATGATGAATGGGCAACATCCTGCACCTCTTTCCAGGGAGCCCTTGACAATCATTACCCTGCTAAGAAGCTTCTCCATTTTCTAAGGACCCAACCATTTTTTTTCCCTACATTGACCTTCTCCCAACCCCTTCCTCATGCCCCCCTAGTTTTCACCGATGGCTCCTCCAAAGGAGTGGCAGCCTCCACCATAGATAATTAAACCACTTCCCTACAATCCCCATTCCACTCCGCTCAATTGGTTGAACTCTTTGCTGTTTTACAAGTTTTTCAACAACTCCCAAATACTCCATTTAACCTATACACTGACAGTGCTTATATTGCTCAATCCATTCCCCTTTTAGAGACCGTGCCCTATATAAAACCCACTACAAACGCCACCCCTCTGTTTTTTTCCATCCAGCAGTGCATACATTTCAGGCAACATTCCTTTTATATAAGCTATATTCGTGCCCATTCTGGTCTTCCTGGACCTCTAGCCACAGGCAATGCTGTGACTGATAAAGCCACACAACTTGCCCTTCTCGGTGAGCTCGATCCTGTGGCTCAAGCCAAAGAAGCTCACTCTTTACATCACCTTAATGCTCAAACCTTATGTCTTCTTTTTAAAATTACTAGAGAACAAGCCCATCAGATTGTTAAACAATGTGTAAATTGTGTCACTCTCCTGCCTGTTCCTCACTTGGGTGTGAACCCTAGGGGCCTCATTCCCAATGAGATCTGGCAAATGGATGTAACACACGTCCCCTCATTTGGAAATCTTTAATATCTTCATGTTACTGTGGATACCTTTAGTGGATTTATTTTTGCCAGCCTCCATGTTGGAGACGCTTCAAAAAATGTTATTGCTCATGTACTCAATTGTCTTAGTGTCATGGGAAAACCAGAGATTATCAAGACTGATAATGGTCGTGGATATACTGGAAAAAAATTCCAAGAATTTTGTCGCCAATTACAAATTAAGCATGTTACAGGCATACCATACAATCCCCAGGGTCAAGGGATTGTCGAACGAGCCCATCTAACTATTAAACATACCTTCCACAAATTAAAAATGGGGGATTTATATCCCATGAAATGCTCTCCAAGAAATATTCTTCATCATGCCTTGTTTGTTCTTAATTTTCTAACTTTGGATGCTCATTGCAAATCTGCAGCTGATCGCCTTTGGCACCCACAAACTGATAAAAATTATGCCACTGCCATGTGGAGAGACCCCCTCACTTTCCATTGGAATGGCCCTGACCCCATACTCATATGGGGCCGGGGATCTGCCTGTGTTTTCGACACCAGAGAAAGAGCTGCTCGCTGGCTGCTAGAGCATTTGATTAAACCAATAGATTTACCAGAAGATATTTAAAAATCTTACCCAACTGTCCAGGGTGGTGACACCCCCTGAGACATCCTTTTTCTTCTTCTCTCCATAGATTCTGGCCACCGGTTTAGTCCTTGACTTTATCGTAGGCATAGGACTCGCCGCCTCCACCCCCCAGCAGTGGACACCTTGGCAGCCAGCAATCCTCATAATTCTCTACCAGCTCCTCATCAGCGTGTTTGCCTAGCTTAATTACTTCCTTTAGAAAAAACTCTGCCCACAAATGAAGCCCACCAGCCCTTTTCTCCTCCTCTTCCAGGTAAGCCCTTTGTTGATTAATCATTGCTTAGGGGGTTTTCAGCCACCACCTTCAAGAGCTCAACTTTATAAACAATTGCTTCGGGAACCTTGTGATTATAAAGAAATCATAAATATGCCACCTAAGTTTACCTCCCAAATTACCACCAACGGGCCTATAGATTGTGGAGATAAAACAGCTTATCTCACTGCCGAAGGCCATTTTGCTGGAGGTTGGCAACAACAAAACTGGATATGTGTAAAAAAAGGTTATGCCATCTCTGGATGGCTCTCCTTGTAAATGTTTCAAATGCACATCACTTGTAGTTTATGATCTAATCCATTCCAGCTGTTATACAGATAGCCATCTATGTAAGTATAATGGGAAGACATATTACCAAGCCATTCTGCTAAAAAGGATGTTAAGAAAAATTGATGACACAAACTCGCTTATGCAAGCCTCCTGCAGAGGAGAGGTAGGTAAGAATGTCTGCTGTAAAACCATGGCACCAATCCACGTATCTGATGGAGGAGGCCCAACAGATAAGGCTCATGAGCAGTATGTTCAAAAACGAATAGAGAAAATCATACAAGACTCCTTTCCTCTTTATCACCCCCTGGCTCTCCCAAAACCCAGAGCAATTGATCTTAATTCACCTATGAGCAACCTGCGTGAAGAAACTCACAAACTCCTTAATCTTACCAACCCTGACCTTGGGTCCGATTGTTGGCTTTGTCTGCCTTGGCTTGGGGAACACCCATGCCTTTAGCTATTGTCACACCCAATATCACACAAAATCTCCAAAATAATAACAATTGCTCACTTTCCTCTCCTTTTAAAGTGCAACCAGTATCATTAGATAACATAACCTGTTTGTACCAAAGATTTCAAAATAATTCCTATGATATTGACCTAGGGAACATTTCTTTCAGCCACTGCTCAGAAATTCTTGTCATTAATGTTACAAACAGTGTCCTATGCCCACACAAAGTCCAAATCTTTGTTTGTGGGACTAACATGGCATACACCTTTCTACCCACCAACTGGACAGGGCAGTGCACCACTTCTAGCCCTTTACCTGATATGTCCTTAGTTGACAGAAAAGAACTGGTCCCTTTGCCAACCTTTGATTATTACCCCGTAAGGCATAAAAAAGCAGTTACTGTCCTTCCTCTGTTAATCGCTCTTGGAGTCACAGGCGGTCTGGCGACCAGTACTGCAGGAATGGGTGATGCCATACACAAATATAATCAACTATCCCATCAATTAATTAATGATATTGAGGCTGTTTCAGGAACCTTACAAGATCTTCAAGACCAAATAGATTCTCTTGCAGAAGTAGTCTTACAGAACAGGCATGGCCTAGACCTTCTCACCGCAGAACAAGGCAGCATCTGCTTAGCCTTAGAAGAGAAATGTTGCTTCTATGCAAACAAGTCCAGAGTAGTTCATGACAAAATAAAAAGACTCCAAGAAGATCTCGTGCAAAGAAAGAAAAAACTGTTTGAAAATCCCTTATGGACAGGGATGAGTGGGTTTCTTCCTTGTCTTCTCCCTATACTAGGACCCTTCCTTGGTCTCATGCTTGTGCTCTCCCTTGGCCCTTGGGCCTTCCAGAGAATTACAACCTTCATTAGAGAACAGATCAATACTGCCCTCGGCAGACAGATACAAGTCCACTATCACCAGCTTGACCTGGCGGACCAAGGCTATGATGTGCCAGATGACTCCCCTCCTTTAGAAGCTGCATAGGATTCAGACCTATGTATATCGGCTCACAATAAAGTGAGTGCGATATGGGCACCAATGTGGGTGCGAAGCTAAGCATCACAAAGGAAGGTCCATGAACCACCTCTGAATTCCCTGAGAGAAAAACCTGGCGTGCATGGAGTTTGGCATCTAAAATAAATATGCCTTTCCTCCCCTCCACAAAAGAAACCAAGGGCCAACGTTGACCCCCATCAATGGGGAGTCTCGGAGGAGCCAGGTCACTACTCCCCCAATTGGTTAATGCCCACCACTAAATAGCGGGACTCCCCCTCTTTTGTATAAAAGAAGGGAGGAGATGTTGGGAGCCATAGTCCATAGAAACAATGGTCTCGCCCTTTTTGCCTAGGTCTCTAGTTTCTCAAGCCTGCCCCGTTTACAAAGATCAATTGACCCAGCTTGCGATTAGACTGCAGG